GTGATGGGACCAGATGCCATGATCTTAGTTTTCTGAATGTTGAGCTTTAAGCCAACTTTTTCACTCTCCTCTTTCACTTTCATCAAGAGGCTTTTTAGTTCCTCTTCACTTTCTGCCATAAGGGTGGTGTCATCTGCATATCTGAGGTTAATAAACAGCTTTATTGAGATATAATTCACATACCATGTAATTTACCTCTTAAGATGTACAATTCAGTGGATTTTAATACATCTGCAGAGTTGTGTAAACATTATGACAATCAATTTTAATCCTTTTTAAAATAAATCACTCCAAAAAGAAACCCCAGATCTATTAGCAGTCACTCTCCTTTCCCTCCCCCAGCTCTAGGCAATCACTAATATGCTTTTTATGTCTGTAGATTTTTTTCATGTAACATAATGTTTTTGAGGTTTATTTGTGTTGTAGCATGTATTAGTACTTCATTTCCTTTTATGGGCAAATAAGATTCCATTGTATGGTTATATCAAATTTTGTTTATTCAGTCATCATTTGGACATTTGGGTTGTTTCCACCTTTTTGCAATTATTAACAATGCTGCTATGAACATTTCTGTACAAATATTTCTGTGGATATATGCTCTCATTTGGTTTGGGTATAGACCTAGTAGTGGAGTTGTTGGGTCATATGGTAACTCCACGTTTAACTTTTTTAGGAACTGAAAAACTGTTTTCCAAAGTAGCTGCACCATTTTACATTCCTATTAGCAATGTATGAGTATTCCAGTTTCTTCACATCCTTGTCAATACCTACTCTTTTTATTACTATAGCTATCCTAGAGGGTGTGAAGTGGTATCTCATAGTGGTATTTCATTTATATTTCCATAATGACATAACAGAACCTGTGTGCACCAGGACCCAGGAGAAAGGAGCAGTGACCCCACAAGAGACTGACCCAGACTTCCCTGGAGTGTCCAGGAGTCTCCAGCCGAGGCATGGGTCAGTGGTGGCCTGATGCAGGGTTGGGGGCACTGAGTGTAGCAGTACATGCATGGGATCTTTTGGGGGAGGTCGCCATTATCTTCATTACCTCCACCATAGTTTGGCCCCAGGTAAATAACAGGGAGGGAACACAGTTCCACCCATCAACAGAAAATTGTTAAAAGATTTACTGAGCATAACCCCGCCCATCAGAACAAGACCCAGTTTCCCCCTCAGTCAGTCTCTCCCGTCAGGAAACTTCCAGAAGCCTCTTATCCTTCTCCATCAGAGGGCAGATAGATTGAAAACCACAATTATAGAAAACTAACCAATCTGATCACATGAATCACAGCTTTGACTAACTCAAACTATGAGCCATGCTTTGTAGGGCCACCCAAGACAGATGGGTCATGGTGGAGAGTTCTGACAAATTGTGGTCCACTGGAGAAGGGAATGACAAACCACTTCAGTATTCTTGCCTTGAGAACCCCATGAACAGTGTGAAAAGGAAAAAAGATAGGACACCGAAAGGTGAACTTGCCAGGTCGGTAGGTGTTCAATATGCTACTGAAGAAGAGTGGTGAAATAACTCCAGAAAGAATGAAGAGACGGAGCCAAAGCAAAAACAACACCCAGTTGTGGATGTGACTGGTGATAGAAGCAAAGTCCAATTCTATAAAGAGCAATATTGCATAGGAACCTGACATGTTAGGTCCATGGATCAAGGCAAATTGGAAGTGATCAAACAGGAGATGGCAAGAGTGAATGTTGGCATTTTAGGAATTAGCAAGCTTAAATGGGTGAATTTAACTCAGATGACCATTATATTGACTACTGTGGGCAAGAATCCTTTAGAAGAAATGGAGTAGCCATCATAGTCAACAAAAGAGTCTGAAATGCAGTACTTGGGTGCAATTTCAAAAATGACAGAATGATCTCTGTTCGTTTCCAAGGCAAGCCATTCAGTATCACAGTAATCTAAGTCTATGCCCCGACCAGTAATGCTGAAGAAGCTGAAGCTGAATGGCTCTGTGAAGACCTACAAGACCTTCTAGAACTAACACCCAAAAAAGATGTCCTTTTCATTATTGGGGACTGGAATGCAAAAATATGAAGTCAAGAAACACCTGGAGTAACAGGCAAATTTGTCTTTGGAGTACAGAATAAGGCAGGGCAAAGGTGAATGGAGTTTTGCCAAGAGGATGCACTGATCACAGCAAACACCTTCTTCCAACAATACAAGAGAAGACTCTACACATGGACATCACCAGATGGTCAATACCAAAATGAGATTGATTATATTCTTTGCAACCAAAGATGGAGAAGCTCTATACCGTCAGCAAAAACAAGAGTGGGAGCTGACTGTGGCTCGGATCATGAACTCCTTATTGCCAAATTCAGACTTAAATTGAAAACATCGGTGCAGAGACAATAGCCAGGTAAGTGAGGCCATCAGCACAGAGACTCCAGGATCTTGGTAGGGAGAGCTCCTCCCAGTACAAGGAGACCTTGAAATTGGCCAGTCTGTGCAAAATAAAGGTATAAGGATGTAAAAGTAGGATGTTTTCATGGGGCCAGCCCTTGCACAGGTAGGCAAATCTTGCCTTCCTCACTCCACCTTCAGTCTTCTCTGTCCACACACAGGTTCTTCCTTCCTGGTCTCACACTGCCTACTTGAATATCAGTTACAGAATTGATCAGGATGACAGAAAAACCTAAACAAGCTCCAAAAACTCTCCCATGATAAAGAATCCTAGTGGTTGTGCAGATAGTGGGGGTCTCACTTCAATTCTTTGCTCGTCCGTCTGAGCATGTGCTCCAGGTGGGAAGAAGGGGATCTTCTTCCACACCCTCCATCTTTCCACTTGCATCTCATTAGCCAGAGTTTAGTCACATGGCCACAACTAACTCCAGGAGGAAGCAGGTAATACCTTCTGTTGT